TCCAAGTGTTACAGCTGACAATGGGCTGATGGTTACGTTTTTCCATCTACGACATATGGCCAGGGTTAGAAGGAAGTTGTGCAGGAGTGAACTGAAGGATGCATCTGCAGAAAGCCTGGTTTGTGCATTCATTACCTTGACACTAACAGCCTCTTACTATACAGGGACACACTAATCACGCACTGGCCTCGCATTATGGCCAACTGCCAGATTTGGAGCAGAATATGAAGCATCACTTTAAACCCTTAAACAGACTTACCCCAATGCATCTTGGGTAATTACCACTTCCATATACTCCAGCTCTGTTTTGTCATTCATAATCTACCAGATCGTGTTCAGGATTCAGATACGCTCTTCATATTTAAGTCTAGATTTAGCTCTCCAGTCTGGTCTTTAGCTACAAAAGCTGAAAGGACGAAAGCTCTTTGCGAGGCAGGCAGCCAGTGCTGCTAGCCTAACGTTGCATGAGATTGCACTCTCAGTGCTCACGTCTCGATTTGTTGACAGTCTCAGGTCTTCCTCGTGGCTGTGTATTTCAGCTGCCTTTTCATCTTTATGCCTTAATTTATCATGCCAGTTTTGAATTGCGTATCTCTGTTTCTGTACAGCCTAAAGTACATTCCAGCCGCTTTTTCGACTTTCTCTACTCTGTCTCCCATGTAGCCCTGAGATAACAGACTGTTAGCTGGTCCCAGATGGCCGGCCTGCGAATAGTATTTAGAGAAAGGTTCCACGTGTTGGCCATTGTACTGACACAGATATCAGCATCGAGTCACTCAGATCTGGGCCATTTCCATCCATACCATACATTACTGCAATAAAACTAACACCTTTTATGGGAAGCTCCTTTGCGAAAATGGGCTATCATATATAAAATTCGATTAAAATATTATTTAAAAATTAATAATAATACAACAATTAAAAGAGATGAGCCTAAAGTTGAATTCTGGCACATGCACTCTGTGGTGCTTTTATTTTGGGGATTGTGGGTACAGTGCTGATTTTCACAGAATGTAACTGTAATTTCTGCAGGACAACCCCAATGTTCTGATTGATAACTTGCCGCTGAAACTTTCCTTCCTTTATTTTGACTTCCAAGCCACTCATATAACAGCCTGGAAACTGCTAGATGGAAACAACAAAGGACACCATTGGGAGACACAGCTGGCTTGCCAGCCCTGCCCAGGCAGTCCATTATCGTATCAGGGCTACGGTGCAGCCAAGTGACCAATCGATACACCCTGCGCTCTGCAGAGAGGTTATGCTCAGTCTGTCATATAAAATATCTGGATACTGTAAAATCATAGATCTATAACAAAGTAATAGAGTTCCCTCAATAAGGCATGCTGAGACCAAAATCACATAAACCTTATCAGGTACACCCAGGTAGTACTGGGTAGGACCCACTTTGCCTCCAGAAGCACATCAATGGCAGATGAGTTTGAAGAAGCCTTTCTACACACTCTCTGCTCTACTGAGTTGATTTTTGCACTTGTGGTTTTCCTGTTAGCTTTAAGAAGTCTGGTCATTCTGCTCAGACCTCTTATTAACAAGGTGGTTTTTGCCACAGAACTACCCCTGACTGGATGCTTTTTGTTTATCGCACTATTCACTGTAAACTTTAGACACTGTAGTGTTGAAAATCCCAAGAAATTTGCTGTTTCTGATATTCTGGAACCACCACATCTGACAGCAACAATCACACCATGTTAAAATCACATAGATCAGGCATCTTAGCCATTATAATGCCTAGCTGAGCAGTGAGTGAACTACTTGATCCCACCTGTGTGCTGTATGTATTTGGTTACAGCCACTGGATAGTTTGGCTGTTTGCATGAGAAAGGTATAACTAATAAGATTCAGTTTCTCATGTACAAGAACACATCGTTATAATAATTTTACTGGTAACAAACATAAATGATGTAGTAGTACACGCTTACTTAATGCATTAATTAACCAGTAACTAAGCGTTCAAGTACTGATCCCATGTTTATTCACCATTAATCATGACAGTAAATGTATTTCATGGGAAAGCTATATTATTTCATGATTTGTTCTTGAGTATTAAATGAGTTAAGTAGTTTTTGCCCCCTCAAGTGACATTTTATTATTATTAACTAATGAGTTAACTGTTAATTAGTATAGTGCCTGAATAGAATACATGGGATCAGTACTAACACTTAGTTATTGGTTAATTAATGCATTAAGTAAGTGAGTACTTCTACATTATTTTTGTCCCTTCAAGTAAAGTGTGACCATTTATATTAATATGAACATAAATTTTTTTAGAAGAATATTACACGAATATTACGCATTGAATGTTTTCAGTGCTGAATTCATTTAAAAGTTCAGAGTGGTCACATAAAAATTATGGACCTTAAAAGTAAACAGATTTTAAGTAAGTGCTAGCAGGTAAAACATTACTGGTCAGATCAGTTCTGGTTCCACTGCATGTGCTAGGAATCTGGCTTTGGAGGTCAACGAGTAAAGTGAAACCTCAAAAGGCTGGCAGTGACACAGCAGAGGAGATGGGAGACAGACTGTTGCGGTTTGGCCGCATCGCGTCACCCCTGCGTGTCTGTGCAGTGTCTCCATCCTGTCTCCCTCACCAGCACTGACGGCTGCATGAAACGAAACAGCTGGCCAACTCTAAGGCTATCCCTAAGAGCTCTGTTGTGTACTGTCATATTTTTACATTGAGCCCAGTCGATGAAAGTGTCAAAAAGAATTCTGGAGGATGACAGTTAAAAGGGAAAATTAAATTAAAAATAAATGTCCACTGGATGTCACATTGTCCATCATTTCTTTAATAGTCCACTTAATATGTAACAAAAAGGAATTAGTGATAGGAATTAGGATCTATAACCTTTGTCCTGTTTGATTCTCCAGCACAACTGTGCTTGTGTGAGACAGACAGTTCACTTTCAAACAGGAAATGGATCATTTCAATAACTTGGAGGTATGTTCTTTCAATTAACTGATTTTTCTACTGGATTTTCATGGATGACTTTCAAACAAATTACTTTAATTATAAATACACCTGGTAAAATACTAATTGGGAAAAAGAAAGAGACCTAAGTTAATATAAGATTGTTTTTTTCTTTATATGTTTATTATCTTTATTTGTTTATATGGTATAGTGTACATTACAATATGTGATAATTCACTGTTTGTTGTGCTTTTTGATATCTCATAATGTTGTTTTTCCTGTTTCCATCAGATAACTTTAGGTTTATGGTGTTTTACTGTTTCCATTTCCCTGACCTTCCGGACCACACAACAAACAATTCATCGTCTAGATGCGTTTTTCTCAACCTGGTCCTCAGGGATCCCCAGACAGTTCATATTTGTGATCCCTCCCAGCTCCCAGCACACCTGTACCAGTTATATATTGACTGTTTGGAGGGAGCAAAAATTTGGACTGTCTAGGGGAGCCCGAGGATCAGGTTGACAGACACTAGTCTAAACAACTCTAACTTTTCAAATAGGAATCAGGAGGACAAGGAATAGGAAGTCAGATAGCAGGTAATGGGTCTTGTAAAGTACACATAATTACATCGGAATGTCATTTAAAACCCATCTACTGACAGAAGATGTTCAGGAATACTAAGAGTAAGTATTTCTCAAGCTCAATTTTCAGACAGTGTAAATTTTACTACAGAGTGCAGAATAAATTACAGCATAAATATCTCTAGGTGGTGCCAAAACTCATTTATGTTCAGCCTCAGTTCAAAAGTACACAATTTAATTTAAGATAATACTTATCATTTTATTGGGGTGAAATTTTAAAACCTCACATTATCATCTAAATACTTTACTCTTTTTAGTCAAAACAATCTGGATGGATTTTCTGTGCTGGCCGGTGGTTGTTTCATATGGTGTCCTTGTGGTTAGTAACAGCTGGGACAGAGCTGTGGGTAATGATGCGGAAACAGCCCCTCGGAGGGACACCCCAGCACTGGTGAGCCTCTTGTTTTTGCGGTGGATATAACGCTGCGACAGGAGCTGAGGAAGCTGCTCCCCAGGACCTGCTGTCCATCTGAAATGGAGCTTTCTTCATGCACCGCTTTGAGGTTCTACTGAATTTAACTCAAATTTTAACTTTAGTTAGTAAATAATTTTAATAAAGTAAATCATTGCCACACTGATTACCCCTGTACCTGTATGCAACAAATAACAAATGTACAAAGCTTACTAGTAACTAATTAAACTAAACTAAACTGTTAATTATATGATGTAAGTATATGTATTTGTCATGCGAGTTTTATTAATTATTTTAGTTATGCTATAATAAGTACCTTTCGCAGTATTATTATAATCCATCTATGGCAATAACCATCTGTAACGACTCTCTGTGCAGGAAAAGGAGTCTCCTTCTATCAGGCAACACATAATGCGCGATGTACATTTACATTTATTTTGCACACTAAGGTATTTTGCATATTTGTACGTTTAGCATATTTGTACATACATGTTTCTGTAATCTGTCATTTGGTGTTAAGCCTACCCTTATGTCAACCTCGTGTCTGTGTGTTCCTACCATTTATGTGGCTATTGCAACACAGAAATATCGCCTTGGGGATAAATAAAGTAATCTGAATCTGAATCTGAATCTATCCATCCATTTACTATAACCACTTGTCCTGTTCAAGGCAGGGAACAAGAAGGATGGGGTGCCTGCCCATCACAGGACACACTCACATGCCATTCATTCACACATGCACACCTATGGGCAATTAGCTTCAGCATGTTTTTGGACTGTGGGGGGAAACCAGAGTAGCTGGAGGAAACCCCACGACGACACAGTAAGAACATGCAAACTCCACACACACGCAGCCATGAAGGATTATTATTATTATGAATATTCAAATTAACACAGTTGTGCATATAATTACTTATAAAGAAATATAATTATATATACAAGATACTTATCCACAATTCACTGACATTTTCATCTGATGAAGATTTTGAGAGAGCAGAGCAACAGACGGAGAACTGACCGAGAATGGCGACGATCTCGTCATCTTGGATAACCTCCAGGGAGCCTGACACCACGAAGCAGAGGCTGTCCACGCTCTCACCCACGTGGAAGATGAGGTCGCCAGGGGCAGAGTGCACCGTCTGGAACTCCATGGCCAGTGCCCGCAGGCAGCCGTCGCTGGCCAGCCGGAAGGCAGGGTGCTCCTTGAACACCTTCCTGTTGAGGTGCACGCAGATATCCGCTCTCATGTCTTTCGGGCAGATCTGTAAGACCTGCATGAGGAGAGGACAACAAATCGTCCATGAAAAGAGCAGCCTCTCAGCCTTGCTGCATGGATCATGCTGGGTTATACTGCAGACGCACCACTAACTCAATCTCCATGCAGAAAATGGGATTCCTGAGCATCCCCAAATGGACTGCACCTCATGCGATAGTCATTTCAAGTTCTCTGCCACTTCAGCTCCAAGGTCAATATCAGACTGGGGGGACAATTAATTGATGCGAAATGGACTCCACAGTTACGAACTGTGAACTTAAAAATGGTTAGTTTCTCATAAATTTAAAAGACATAGATTTCATTTACAGTAATTTGGTAACACTTCACTGGAGGGGGCACCATTAACATAGTATTATGTTACATATGTATTAATTAGTATTATATTACATATGTATTAATTAACCACAATCTAAGTCTTAGTTACCAAGTGATGTTTGTTCATCATTAATGAATTTATCTCAAGTAGTGACTATATTTGTTCATGATTTGTACTTCAGTAGTAACTGAGTTATTATTAAGTATTTCTGCCCCATCAAGTGTTACCAATAATTTTTTTTAGCAGATGCTTTTGTCCTGTTCAAGGCAGGGAACAACAAGGATGGGGTACCTGCCCATCACAGGACACACTCACACGCCATTCATTCACAACGTGACGTACAAGTGAGGTAAATAGCACATTGCAAACGTATGAGCTGTCAGGGAGTTAACTAGGCATAAGTGCGGCTAGGCTGAGCTTCCAATGAATACCCAGGTACAAGTGTAAGCAGTATTAGAGCAAGAGCTACACAACATCTTAAATCAAAACTCCTGAATTCCACCGCTAGCTTACTACAGTTCACTGGGAACAATGGAAAACCAGCCACTAAAGAACACTGGTCATGCAGGCAAACCCTCCAAGCAGTTCCAATCTTTTTTGGTTTTTCTGCACCTCAATTCTGGAAGTTCAAACCTCAAAACTCCCCAAAACCCAAAGAGAGACAAAAATGAAGTTGCTATGGGAGAAATGCTAACAAACTGTAAAGAGAGACAAACCCAAAGAGAGACAAAAATGAAGTTGCTATGGGAGAAATGCTAACAAACTGTAAAGAGAGACAAACCCAAAGAGAGACAAAAATGAAGTTGCTATGGGAGAAATGCTAACAAACTGTAATATTAATAGTAGAGAACATTCTAGAATGATTTTTGTATGAGCTTCATTTTATTGCATTGCCAAGGGGAAGGCTGTGTGCGTGTACCACATTTGTTGAGGTGCATCAGTGATAACTGTATTTGAAGACCATATTTAATTCATGAGTACTGCACAGCAATCGGTATCTGAATTCAGAATCAATAGGCAGTGACCTCAGTTAACTCAGAGAGGACACTCAGTCACTTTCTCTTCATTCATGCAACAACCACTATCTGCAATACTACTAAATACTGCCACACTCAACATATTTAACACAAAAGCTTTTTATAATACTACTACATACTCCAACACTCAACATACTGTATTTGACATACATGCATGTAACGATACTTCTAAATACTGCAACATATATTACATAAATCCATTTAATAATGCTAATAAATGCTATAGTTAATATTTAATAAGACTTAACTAAAGCCAGAGATATAAAGAAGAGATATGGGTTAGTGATTGTCACTGCTCTGGAAAGGGTTGTCTGGTAACCATGGTGTGTAGAGTAAGGTAACCTGTAAGTGATGGGGCAATGAGATGTACTTTATTGATCCCCGGAGGGTAATTAGGAACTGACTCAAACAGCAGAAAGTCACATACATGTTAAATCAATACTGGTATTACTAGTATGCAAGTATTTTTACACTTATGTAAGCATGCACTGGCGAAGACAGGGATAATGAACACATATCAAATAGGTTGCTTTCCATGTAATCATAGTCAACATAGATATTAGATAACCTTTGAACAATAAACTGAATAAGAATCTGTTAATGGGAACAATCTTTTTTTGTCCAGAATGAGTTGCTGTTGACCTTTTCAAGTATGCTACTAAAATATCTCAATAACATTTGCTATAGGAATGTCTATTGCGTGTAAATCAACAAAGAGAACATGTATGGTTGGGAATGTCTTGGGGTCTCAAAGTACCTTTTCAGTATCTATTCCTCTGGACATGGACCAGGTGGAGACAATGTAGTCCATGACTCTCTCACTCAGGCCCTTGGGCACCTGGTAGAGCTTCAGGAAGTCCCTCACGCTGTTGAGCATCTCATGGTACCTGTTCGTGTTGGCGTACATCTGCTGGAAGATGGTGGTCACATTACCAAATATGGTTGCGTACAGGAGCGCTGAAAAAGAAGAAGGACCCACTGGTTAATGTTGTTGAAGCAACAGTTTTTGGCATATTCAAAGCATTTAAAGTTTGCTCATGCATAAAGTAGGCTTATTGTGAAGTTTTCATTTTAATCCCGTGTCTCTCAAACCATTCCTGGGAGAAACACAGCTTTAAGTCTCTTAAATTCTCTTATATGCAGAAGACTAAATGATTTAGGTGTATCCTTCTACTACACTGGCATCACCTGATAAACTGGCACCAAGAAAACGGCAGAAGAAAATTGAAAAGGCAGAAGTGACTCTAGCCAGGACCAAGAAGGTATTGGAGTACACCAATATATAATCAATAGGCAAAATTGCACATTTCTGCATATTAGGTATGCTTCACACAGTCACTAGGTCATTTCATTAGCTCGGGCTAGGTGGCGTGTGACTGTCAGTGTGTATGTGTGAGCTCGACTAGGTGGCGTGTGACTGTCAGTGT